TCGTGCCAAAAAGGGCCGCGGCCATGTGCAGCCAATTCGCTGCACTAACTGCGCCCGCTGTGTGCCCAAGGACAAGGCCATTAAGAAGTTCGTCATTCGGAACATCGTAGAGGCGGCTGCCGTCAGGGACATATCCGAAGCAAGTGTTTTCGACGGTGAGTGTATAGGGATGAGGAACGAACGCGGGCCCATTGCTACCTTTGGTTCATATTTAGTTTTGGGCAGAAGCTGTCTTTTATGGCATAGTAGGCTTAACGCTGAGGTTTGAATTTGGTGGTTTTTTTTTTTTTTGGGTGGATTGCATGCTAGGCAAACCCAGCCTGCATCCCCTCCCCCCCCCCCTTTTTTTTTTGTTTTTCGAGACAGGGTTTCTCTGTAGCTTTTTGGTTCCTGTCCTGGAACTAGCTCTTGTAGACCAGGCTGGCCTCGAACTCACAGAGCTCCGCCTGCCTCTGCCTCCCGAGTCATCCCATCCCTTTGACTGCCAGTTTAGGAAAGGGCAATCTGTAAGAAACTGTAAGAGATGGACATTTGGTAGACATAGTTCATTCAACTACTTTTAATGAAACATGCTTAGACTGAGTTGTAAATAACGGCAGCGTGCAGGCAGTAAGTTCTGGAACTTAGAACATAAATCCCAGTTTATGCCTCCCTAGTGCTGGGTTTAAAAACATGGGCCACAACAGCTAACTGGGTTTCTTAAGAGAGATGAGCTGTTCTAACTTAACTGCTACCGTGTGGTCTGGCTTCAAGGAAAGTCCTTACCTTTTGAATGGCAACATTTCACCCAAAAGTTGGACTTTTAGCATATGTAAGCTTGGTTTCCGTGGTGGGCTTGCTTCGCAGGGGTTTTTTATTCAGGTTGAGACTGCTTGCTGTTGCCTTTTGTGCAGGTTTTGTGGGTGTGCCTAAGTGAGGGGGATAATGGGAAGTGGGCATATATCTGAACTGCTGCTCTGTTCTTCAGCCTATGTGCTCCCCAAACTCTATGTCAAGCTGCATTACTGTGTGAGCTGTGCCATTCATAGCAAGGTAGTGAGGAATCGATCCCGGGAAGCTCG